CAGGGTGAAAATTATTATAGGTCTTAACCTCGTTCGGATGAGGCATTGATAAAATAATAATGTATATACGACCATATGGTTGAGGCAGTTGGTCAAACTTGTAAAAAATATCATTTGATCTTTCAGTCGGGCGGTTGAAAGGTGATTATCATAGTGTAGGATAAAATTTTGCGTAGGTTTTTAGCCCAAACGTAAGTTTGTAGGCATCGGGTTCAAGTTAGGGTTCATAAGTGGTTATCAAATACTTGAAAATTCAAAAATAGAAAATTATGAAGTTAAAAGAAATATTGTTTTATATGATATAAAAATTTAATGTTTACCTAATTAAAAGTTTGTTGGGATCGTGAATCTAAAAGGAGTGTAGTATTGCTCATTGTAGAAAGACATAGTGAAATTTGTTATTCGTGTCGGTAAAAAGTCTTTAAAAATAGATATTGAAAATTTATGATTTTTTATTCCAGTCAATTTTTTATGAATAAAGATGAATGTAGCATTATTTATGGTGAGCTATATTATTATGACGATAATGGTATTGAAAAATTATTGTTGAAAATTAATTATTTTTTATTCACTTCACTTGCTTAAAAGTTTTATACTCCTTCATAAATTTTTAACTTATTGGATTTTTCATGATTTTTAATGATTTTGAGTCTTCCATGATTTTAATTTATTTAAAACTTTCACATTTTGAAAGAGGATGTGTTTTCAAGCAGTTGACGATTTTCACTACTTCATGGTCATATGTTATGTAAGGTGAAAATCCTCAACCCACCTGAAGTGATTAAGACTATGAAAGGTGAAAATCCTGATATTAAGTGATGACAACCATAAATCATCTGAAAGCAACCCCCTATTAACATAAGATGAAAGTCTTGAACTAACTTGAAGTGATAAAGACAACGAAATGTAAAAAAACACTCTCTCTTGTATGTTTTGATTGACCACTAATGCAAACCCTAAAAACCGTGGAAGAATATTGAGTAGTGAATATTTTGAATAATGTAAATGAAGTACAACACAATAATTTGGATGACAAACGTTTTTCATGTTGTTTAAAATTATTCAAAATTTCAAAATTTTAAATATTTTTCTTAGGGTCTGTGCTAATAACCAACCAAGCATGTAGAGGGGATACATCAAACTTTTGATGGTGACACCTCTCAAAGGTAGAGGTAAGTTATATATCGGAGGACCTTATGAGAGGTATACCTAACGCACTTGGTTGAAGTGACGAAGCTTAATGTTGTGCGTCAAAAACTAAATTCATACGTTACGTGGTGGGAAGCGCTCTATACATGCGGGTCGATGAGATAAATACCGCTGGACGATGTTGTAATATGGTTTGCACCCTTTCCATATACCTACCTGTGCTCTTTGAGAAATAATCACAACATGTTTTACAACAACATGCTATGAAGTTAAAAAACAACCGGGCAAGGCACAATCTCTTACTTGCGAACAAGGTTGATTTTTGTCCCGTGATCTCCATGCATAGTTGTTAGTTTGGCGATGCAGTGCATAACCTATGTGAGATGAATTTGAAACCAATCATTAGGCAAATTCATTCGGTAGATTTCATTCATAATTATGATAAAAAACGTTGTTTTACCATCTGTGTGACATAGTTACGGGTTACCTTGGTGAACAAATGTATTTTGGCATCGGGAGCCTACCATCATTAGTTGAATTCAACAATTTGATCGAGCTTGTCAAACACAAACGTTGTGGGTTGGTACCAGACGCCTATGTCCTTTGGCTTGGTAGTCATAGTACCTCGCTCTACTACACACCAGCGCAAATTGCGAGTTTAACCACCATTACTTTCCCAATTATTTTTTCAGAGGCGCGCCGAGTAACGTGTTGGCCTGAAACCGAAGAGCGGTTGCCGATAAATCGAACCGGCGGCCAATCTTGATTTTTGGGCCAGCGTGCAATACCCGTGATCGACAAATGGGAAAGGTACTGATGGTTTAATCATTCGCTATAACATGGATAAACGCACCATCATATTTTGTGTTCTTTGTGCATGTGGAAAGTAGGGAGCGAGGTCTATTCTTACACACATTTTAGTAAACAGAAACTAAGCTCGAGTCAAATTAGGGCCTCATTAGACACCAATACACCACAATTGAAACTATAGTGCGACACTACACTCGTATTATAAGTGTAAACGTAGTGAAAGTGTAATGCGTTGTGGAATGGTGCAAAAAATGTAGCGTGAGTGTAGTGCAGTGGTGTGTTTAGGCCCTTTTGATGAATGCTAGAGAGTGGGTGGGGTGAATATCATAGCCGACATTGATAACTTTTGTACACCGTGTTATGGCTATAGTGGTTAAACCACCAGTACCTTGCCCAACTAAAAGAACCCGACGTGACGCGCCGCGGGCGGAATACCCAACGCCCATCGACCTATATCCCCCAAAAAAAAGGGAAAAAAAAAACCAACAAAGTAAAAACGAATGAACAGTAACTAGCAAAAAGGGGGGGGGGGACGAGAGAGAGAGAGAGAGAGAGAGAGAGAGAGAGAGAGAGAGAGAGAGTGTTTGACGCCGATTTTGGCACACCAAACTCAGCGTCAGACACTCTCTGACGCTGTCTCTCTCTGTCTCTCAATGTGAATGTCCAAATGAGAAAAAATCTTCTGCGATAACACGGAAGATTCGTTCTTATTTGGACATTCACTTTGAGAGAGAGAGAGAGAGGGAGGGGGGGGCGTCAGAGAGCGTGTGACGCCGAGTTTGGTGTGCCAAACTCGACGCCAGACACCCTTTGACGCCCTCTCTCTCTCTCTCTCTCTCTCTCAACGTGAACGTCCAAATTGGAATGAATCTTCCGCACTATCGCGGGAGATTCATTCCACACACACACACACACACACACACACACACTGAG